GGCCATGTTCAGCTCGGCAGTGTAATGCTCGTGTATGGTGTGTCGTGGCCAGGATCGCCGCTGTCGCCATCAGACCACGGCAACATGGGCCCCATGCTTCCGCTACATGGCTTCCTGCGTGCTGATCTGTCTTCGTTAGTCTTTGGTATGTGCCGGCTTGGATTTCTGTTGCTGGCGCTAGATTTCTTGCATCCCGATTCCGCCCCACCACCGAGAAGCCCCGTCCGCTGCGGTAGCGCTCCCCTTGTGTATGGAATTGCTCGACCTGGGCTGACCTTGCCGGCCTTAGACTTTATTACGCTGGAACCGCCGGTTTCACTTAGATCATGCGGCCAGCCTGGTTTGTCCCTGTTGCTTTACGGAGCAATGCGCTCAGGACTCATGCCACTCGTGCTGGATTGGATGAGCTCTGGCAGCACAGTACCTATCCACAGCTTCGTGAAGCTCGAACTGTCTTTGCTTGCATCCGGAATGACGAGGCTTGGACTCTTCACGCCTGCGTCGGACTCTGTGAACACAGGATTATTGCCACTTCCCCAAAGTTTCGTGTGCCCAGGAAGCTCGATGCTAGCTTACGCAAACATCCGGCTTGGCTTGAGCCTGTCTGTGCCAGACCACGTGACCCTCGGTTCGGCTGTGCCCCTACAATCACATGTTCGTCTCGACTCTGCTATGCTGATCTACGGCACAACGCAACCAGGCTTTTCTTTGCTAGCCCTGGATCACATTCAGTCCGGCCTGTTCTTGCCTTCACAAGGGCCTGTTCAATTTGGGTTCTTCATGCTTGTGTATGGACTAGCCCATCCCGATCTGCTGTTGCCAATCCTGGACTTTGTGAGTCCGGAATCGTCAATGCTTCCAAGAACTTTCGTGCAGCCCGGGTTCATGCTGCTTGTGTCCGGTGTTGCAAGGCCTGGGCTGCTCCTGCTTGCTCTGGATCTCGTGTCCCCGGGAAGTGTGCCGTCACTGAGGCAGCCTGCACGCCCTGGCTTGGCTCTTTCGACTTACGGGACGGTGCGTCCGGGATCCTTTCCGCCCATGCTAGACCACGTAACTTCTGGGAGCTTGCTGCCTTTGCATGGCTCGGGCTGCATGGGGCTCTCTATCTTCGTCTTTGGGCTGACCCGCCCGGGACTCATGATGCCAGTGCTAGACTATGTCCACATGGCTTCACCGGCCTTCCTGCGAAGCCTCGGATGTTTGGACTTACTGCTGCCTGCCTATGGCATGCTCTGCTCGGAACCTTCGATGCCAATCCTGGATTTTCTGCACATGGCATCCTTCCTGCTGTTGCGCGCCCATGCGCATCCTGGACTGCCACTGCCCACGTACGGGGCGACGCGTCTTGAGCTACTGTTGCTTGTATCGGACTTCATTCATGCAGGCTTGACGATACTGCCCCGGAGTTCTGCTCGGCCGGGATCTGTGCCGCTGATATATTCGATGGCACGTCCAGAGTTGCTGCTGCTTGCGCCCGATCATGTGACTCCCGGTTCCGTCCTATTGCCCCAAAGTCCTTCGTGCTTGGGATCTCTGTCGTTCGCTTATGGAATGGCCTGACTCGCTCTCTCTCTCTTGGCCTCAGACTACTTGCATTTGGGGCCACCACTGTCCTTGCGCAGCTCCTCGAGGGTAGACTTCTTGCCACCCCCTTATGGCATGGCGCGACCTGATTTCGCACCGTCAGCCCTGGACTTTGTGACATTGGGACCTGCTATGTCCTCGCAAGGCCTGTCATGATACGACTTAGCCATGCCTGCCTACGGGCTTGTGCGCCTGGAAAGCGCTATGCCCGTACTGAATTTCGTTCACTTCGACAGCTCTATGCCAACAAGCAGCTTCGCGTGCCTCGGCCCAGCGCCATCGACTTACGGCATGACTTGGCTAGATTTTTCGCTGCTTGCGCCGGACCTTTTGCATCTGGGCTTGTCAGTGCTGCCTCGAACTCCCGCCTGTGCAGGCTTCTCGACGTCGGCATACGGGTTGGCATGCCTCGATGCCCCACCATCGGTCCCGGACTATGTCTCGCTGGATTCCCTTCTGCTCGCACGTTCTTTTGTTTGCTTTGGCCCAATCCTCGCAGCCTTTGACAGTTGCCGCTTTGCATCGCTGATGCCGCTTCGAAGCTTTGCACATCCAGGAAGCCCATCATCAGCCTATGGACTGGCACGTTCGGACTTGTCGATCTCTACCTTGGACTTTGCTCAGATCGGGCTTCCACTCTTTTCGCGAAGCTTTGCAAGGCCTGGCCCGTCCACCCTTTTGTATGGGTTCAGCAAGATGGAATCGTCGCTGTTTGTCTTGGACTACGTGGTGTCAGACTCCACCATGTTGCTGCAAGCGTTCGCAAGACTCGGTAGTCCGATGCCAGTGTATGGAAGTTTCCGACCTGGCCCAAGCTGTTCAGTCCTGGACTTCATCCACCTTGGGAGTGTGCTGTCGTTGCACAGCCTTGCTTGCTCGGGCTC